GCAGGAATCCCCAGTCCCTGGTTTGGGAAGTAAACTGCAGAAAACTTGCTCTTCATTCCGTGGGGGTGAGGGGCACTGAGAGATGGGGCCAGCTATAGAACCCCCTTTGGTAGCAGCACACTGAGGGAACCCTCCAAGGTAATTCACAAAAATCCTAACACCAGTTCCCAGAATACTACCCATTCTAGAGAAGGGAGTGAGCTAGACCTCTTCAAGTCGGTGCAGCTACAGCCCTGTTCTAGGTCAGCTTCCTTCAATCAGTTAGTTGGCAGCACTAAGCCCAGACTAGAACAGACTAGAAAATAGAACAGCTGCAGCCCCAAGAAACTACAAGTTTCATTCACACCCTTGTGTCCATCCCACACTCCAGTCACTTTCCTTAACACTCCCTCCCCTCAAAGACCACAGGCATATCACTCTCTTGGGACACATACATCCAGCGCTGGGTTCTGGGTTGACGTCCCTGCTCCTTGGCTACAACTGTTAAGTCCTGCCTTGACAATTTGGGCTTTGGAAATACAAAGCCATTTTAATAGAAGGCTTGGCAAGGCAGCCCCAGAAAGGCCACGCCGATAGAAAAAGCTACAGGCATTTACAGGATCAACCAGAAATGGACTTCGGAAAGTCTTTTTCAAGTTCCTTTTATTATTATTTTTTTTTAATTGGAGTATAACTGCTTTACAATGTTGTGTTAGTTTCTGCTGTACAGTGAAGTGAATCAGCTATATGTGTATATACATCCCCTCCCTCTTGGACCACCTTCCTCCCCTCCCCGCACCAAGCTCCTTTTATTTTAGAGGAACTGTGCCGGCAACTGTTGAGCATGAGCAGGGAGCCAGGATGGGTACTGTGGCCAGGAGGTGGCGCCGCACAACCGCCGCCAGAATGGTCCTCAGCCACAGGTCTCTCCAGGGGCCAGGGCGGGGGACAGGCCTTGGGATGAAAGCCACCCCACTCTGCTTTAAAGCACAGGGCAAACTCCTGTGCAGGGAAGTAAGTGCCAGAAATGTCTCTGCCTTTATGTAGGTGGGGTGGGGTGGGGTGGGGCGGGGAGACAAACAGAACGTGGCACTGAGGATAACCTTCACCGTGCTGTTGGGTTTAAGAAGGGAAAGTGGGGGGCAATGTGGCGAGCCCCCCACCCCAGCAAGGCCAAGCTCCCTGGCTCAGTCCTCAGAGTACATGCTGCACCTGCACGGAGGCGGCTCTGGCAGAAGAGGTGATGGGAGAGCCATTAACACCCAGTTACTGGGCTGCCTGAGCCCCTGGAGAGGGGAGAAAACCAAACTCTGTTCCCTGGACCAAAGGTGAGGCCGCTGACCCTGAGTCAAAGGGCAGTCAGCACTGCCCCAGGACAACTGACTCAGCTCTGGCTCAACAGGAAAGCTGAGGGCTTCCTGCAGGTGCAGGCTGGGCACCCCAGTCCATCTGGTCCAGTGCTCTCTCCTTCCCCTCCCTGGGTCAGGCAGATCCCTTGACACTGGTATGACCATTAGAAACCTTTTAGAAAATGTTCAGGCTTCCCCAGCAATTAGCCTAAAAACCTGGATATCACTCTCAAGCTCCTGGCCCTGCTGGAAGAATCCAGATTTCCAGGGACTAGGGATTTTGCCCTGAAGGAAAAAGTTGTGTTGGAGGCCTCGCCCAAGGCCCCTGAATCCAGGAGACAAACTTGAGAGCAGAGCCCAGTACTTAAAGACAGCAAGATGAGAGGTTCCTCGGACTCTTTCCTACTCTGAATAATCTATCCAGAAATCAGAAGGAAAGGACAGCTTCTCCACCTGCCTGTACAGCCCACATTCAGTTCCGAGCCCAGGGACACAAGCAGACGCTGACACAAAGCTCCAAGACCAAAGCTGAACCATCTCTTTTCCTTTGGTTTATGGTTTCTTCACGCAGAACCACAATCAGAGGCTTAACCCGGGCACTGAGCCTTTCTTAAAAGGCCACAGATCCCAAGCCTTTCCTGAAGAGAGGCCATCAAGAACGCACTCAGCATCTTAGTGACAGACGCTGTGAAGGCTGAGTAATCCTGAGAGGCAGGGGGTGAAAGGGGCAGCTGGCTGGGGCCGTGGAGAGGCCTCGCCGGTGCCCCACTGCGGGAGGCCCAACAGGCAGGAGGGCTTCAGCCTCAGACAGGGAGCTTGGGAGGGGGCGGGGGCGCTCCTCAGCTGGTTCGGACTCTGCAGGGGATGAGGTCTTCTTAAAACACAATGCGGCCAGGCAGCCCCTGGGCCTCAGAGACCACAGATGCCTTGACCCCGGGGGCAGGCGCTCGGAGCAGAGCAAAGAGCTGTGGCGCCTGAGGAAGGGACCGCAGACCCACAACAGCAAGGTCAGCACCCCAGATGTTCCTCACTACCCCCTCCCCCACTGGGGCCCCACTTCCCTCAGTCCTTCTCCAGGCTGTGTGTCCTCCTCACCTTTACAAACACTGCCACTGACAATCAGTGGCCATCAGGGCCTCTTCAGCCTCCCCCTAACATGGCTGCCTCCTGACGGGGCCTGCAGTGGCCTCAGCTGGGTACATTCACTGGCCTCTGGCTTCTGAGCAGCAGGTGCTCGCGACTCTGGCTGAGTGAATAACTCTGGGGCCTCCAGGGCCTTTGTCGCTTCTACAGAGCCAGGACCTGTGGAAGCCTTCGCTGGTCTGCAACCGCCCAGAAGAGTTAGAAACAGAAAGGCTCCCTCTGTTATGAGGACCGGGAAGTGGGCTATGACGAGCTGAGCACCTGAGGCAAGCCACTCGGTCTTTCTGGGCCTTGGTCATGTTTACTAGCACCAGTGATGGGCCAGGCCTGTGTCAAGACACTTGACATCATTACTTCATTTAATCCTCACTACAAACCCATTTCTAAGCACTAATCCCCCATTTCACAGAAGGGAAACCGAAGCACAGAGAGCTTAAGTAACCTGCTTGAGGTTACACAGGTAGTAGGACAGCAGAGCCAGGATCTGAACCCAGATCTGCCTGAACCCAGAGCCAGGGCTCTTAAGAACTACTCTGTAGGGTCCCCTACAGCTCGATTTACTCCTACAACAGGTGGGAAGTGGTGGTGCACTCTTAAGATCTCTCAAGAGTGTGTGCCCTACTCCTCTCTAGGCTGGGCTGGTGAAGGATCAGTTTGGGGTCCAGGCCCCCTCCTTTGCTGTCCTCTTGGGCAGTCCATGAAAGGTGTAAGGGGTGAAACAGTACAGGGCTCCCTTCACCGCCACCCCGGCCCTGCACCTCCTACGACTGGTAGATACCTCTGGGAGATCAAGAGGACAATGGGGGGGCGGGGGGAGGAGCGTGAGCCAGGAGCTTTGGTCCAAGAGCCACTTTGTTGAGTGGGTTTAAGGATGAGGGGATACACCCAGAGAGGGATCTGAGACTCGTATCAAAGAGCCTTTCAAAGGACTCCTTTCAACCAGCGCTCAGCAGTGTCCCTGATAGCCAGGTGCAGGTCACCCCCAACCCTCTGTGTGTGACGGGAAGGGGCAGTGGCCCCCTCCCGGGAGACGAACACTGGCACAAGAGGGTTTATAGGCCGGTGAGGATTTCATTGCACAGGTTTTCCCAGTGAGGGAGGGCAGGATTCCAGTGGGTACCACAAAGCTCCATTACTGATGTGCATCTGTTCTCCCTGCTCCGAACATCTGGTTTGGGGCTGAATGTCGGAAAGGACCAGCAAAGACCTGGGGGGTGGGGGGAGCTCTGGCTCAAGAAGAAAGTGCGCAGGTTGCTGAGAACAGGGAAGCCAAGCCACCCCTTCAGCTCACTGCTGTGAGGTTTCCTACTGAGGCAGGATGTGAAGAGAAGGGGGGATGTGGGAGGTATTCCCCCTCCCCCTCCCCCCAGGATCACCTGGGCTGGGGTCCAGGCTCTGCCAGTTACTACTCAGCCACACAGCCTCTTTGCGCCTTAGTTTCCTCAGCCGTTAACTGGGATAACAGCAAGACCACTCTGCTGATACACAAGACTGAACACAGTAATGCGCTGTGCAGACTAAACTTAAATGCCGTGCTCATTTTCATATTATCCAAGGGGAGATGACCACTCCTTGGCAACACTGTGGCCACCCACCCAGCATGTGGTTGAAGCTCAAGAACAGAAGATGAGAAAGGTGCCAGAGGAACTCTGATCGTGAGCAGGTTTCAGAAAGTCAAAACCACCCCTATACCTTCTCCCAAGTTCACTACAAAACTTGTTTTCCAGTTGCAAACTCCTTGGCTGGTCTCTGCAAGTAACAGGAAAGCAGGTGAGGTTGTTCCACTTGAGACAAAGAATGCCCTCTCCCCTTGTGTCCACCATCACTGGCCCCCAAGAAGCACCAGGTGGGGATACTATTTGCCTCTCTCAAGAAGCCTGTGCACATACATGTATACGTGTACACACACACGGGTGCACACACAGATGAAGACTGGCTTTGCCTGGACAACACTATTTTTAACCTTCTTCTGAAGGTCAGGATGAGATATCACTGTTGCCAACAACACAGCTTTGTGTCCCAGCAAAGGAACTCCTCACACATCCGCCTGGGATTCGGCAGAAGGCAAGCTCTCAGGCTGTCAGATTTTAATAAGCCCATTCATGTAGAAGGATGCTTTCTTGGTTCATCTCTCAGAGTACTTTCTCCACCATCTCTCATTCCCCCCACAGCAAAGGATTTAGTCTGGCCATCACTATAAAATGGCCTCCCGGAGGGGCCTCCCTCCCCTTAGCTTTTGGAGGAAGGAGAGTATTTGGAGCATTTCTGGCCTTTCTTGGCCAGCTGCCTGGGCCTTGCAGCCAAGATGCATGTGATTGG